TAATTTGATTTTTTTTTTGGATCCTATCAATTCTTCAAGATTATTATATATCCTTTAATGAAAATTAAAATTATTATTATTATTATTAAACATTACAAATAAAAAATTAATAATTATACTTTTAATATTTATAGAGGCTTTTGTTGTTTTAATGTATAATTTTTTGTTGAATGATTTTTTATTTTTTAATATCAATAACAATAATTTCAATATTTAGATAAAATTGATGGACAATTTTGGATTCAATCTACATGATTTTTACAAAATATACATATAGTATATTATTAAATATTTAATGGGAAAATTTGATTGATGGATTTGTAATTATTGTCAATAATGTATTGGTTAATGATTTTTGAATTTCTGTGATATTTTTGATCATGTTTACTTGTATCTCCATTATACTTGTTATGACACATCTTTGGATATGAAATATATTAGATATCACAGTTTATTGAATTTCTTTAATTACTTAAATCACCAGAATTACTATGTATCGATGGCAAAGTCAAAGCCACCAGTGACTCTGGCAGTCGGAACTGAGCAGCTGCTAGCGCTTGCAACCCGCCACGACCGGGCCGCTCAAGCCTTTACAGCTAAAGCTCACCGAAGCCACTCGAATCCGCCATTTAACTCAAACTCGACTTCTTTTCCTTTACCCCTAAATCTGAAGGAATTCCGTTATGTCATTGGGCGGCCCGGCTTTTTGTCGTTCCCTCGCTCAAACGGTTTGTGCGGGACCAAAGGTCGAAACGATGCAGAGATCCCCCGAAAAACATATGGTACCCCCCCAGCAACCATGGAACTTCTAAATGATGGAGAAAGGGGGTAGTGTTACAGGTTCAACCCGACCACCATGCACACGTTCAACGCTCTGGTTCTGGTGCTGGTAACAACTATCTCTACCTCTCTTACTACTGCTAGTGAACTATTAGAACGTGGATCCTCTTCACCCTCATTAACTTCTCCCCTCGGCCCCGTTGTGGACTTGGGGTACGCTGCTTACGTTGGCAATTCAACCTCTCCATCCGGCATCGTCAACTCGACCGTCACATTCTTTGGTGGGATTCCATATGTCCAACCGCCCCTGGGGAACTTGAGATTTCGCGCTCCTCAACGTCTTGATGAAAGTGTAAAGTCAAATCGGACTGTTGTGAGTGCTCAGTCCTGGGGCCCAACTTGCGTGCAACAGCCTGCTGTGGAGGGCGTTGGGGTAGAAGGTAGGCTATCAAGACACTGTGCGCAAAATTAAATCCTCATCCCTTAAATCTCTTAGATTGCCTAAGTCTGAACATTTGGAAGCCGTCATCTGCCAAGCCGGGAGACAAATTGCCAGTAGTGGTTTACATTCATGGAGGAGGGTTCTTCTTTGGAGTAAGCTAGCAACTTATCTATTATACATACTAGAGAACTGATGATAATTTAGAGTTCACCGCAATTTCCCATGTATGACTGGGTGGCACAAAGTCAGAAAGTCATCGCCGTCTCTATGGTAATTTATCGCCCATTATCAACGTAAAGATGATATGATACTTACACTAATGGCACTAGAACTATCGTCTTCATTTGTTCGGATTCTTGGACGGGACTGCTGTAAGAGCGGATGGTGCTCCAAATGCCGGATTGCTGGATCAAAGAGCCGCGATTGAATGGGTTGGACGACATATTTCCAAATTTGGAGGAAATCCATCTCAAATAACTATCTCAGGCGAATCTGCTGGTGGGTGTGCGAGGACTTTTCTCATCTTACATTACCTAATCATCCCACACCATAGGAGGAGCAGCCGTCTTACTTCAGGCCACCGCTTATGGTGGAGTCCGGAATCCGCCTTTCCAGCGGGCAATTGCACAGTCAATTGGTCTTTTCCCTTTCCCATTGGATTCGGAGATAGAAGGCGTCTTTAGTAAGACTCTCTTGCTTATCTTTCTTTAAAACGAGCTCAATGTCTTCAGATAATGTGACTACTGCGGCTGGATGTCCCTCTTCAGGGGCCGAAGCAATGACCTGCTTGCGAGCTGCACCATTGTCCACCCTCATCAAATCCATCAACAACGTTCGAACAAACTATTTGGCTCCCACCATCGATGGTCCGAGCGGGTTTATCCCCGACCTTCCTTCAAGGTTAATCACCCAGAAAAAGTTTAGTCGTGGACTCGACGTCATCGCTGGTCATGTTAGCAATGACGGTCAAAATTGGGCCGGAAATCCCGCCAACTTGAATAGCGATGCTGACATAGTAACGACCATCCTCAAGAGGTATCGACACATGGTAGGCTTTGTCAAGTGATTACAGTTGGAATGATGCTCAACCCTTCTCAGACCAATGCAACACTCACCAAAGTATTGGAACTTTATCCTTCCCCGAACACACCTGGATCCCCCTTCACCACACAATACGAAAGGATGTGGACACTTATGCAGGAGACTATCTTCGGTTGCATGTACGTTAAAGTTGGATTCAGATCAACCTGACTTACCCTTGCCAAAGGGATCAGTGGTGGGCGAATGCCACCTTAGCTTTAGGCGGTCGAGATGTTTATTCGTATAGGTAATTCATCAAAACATTGGTTCCTGATGACACACTGATTATTGTACGAAGATTCAACGTCCCAAATCCCATTACGCGAGCTGCTAATCCATATATGGGAGCAATGCATGCCTCAGACGTTTATTATCTATTCAACGGGGCAACGTACGTGCATGCTCCATTGATCAGCGTGACCTGTTATTGACAGCTTGTTCCCGACAGTGGTACAGTTCCCTTTTTCGCTCCTTTCAACGTCACCGAGATCCCTGTTGCGAAAGAGATCATCGGATATTGGACGTCCTTTACTCGCACTGGTAATCCCTCCAGCTATAAGCAAAAGTATTCGCCTACTTGGCCAAACTTTATGGGAGCTAGGAGGGTGGTGATCAGCGAAGACTTGAATGCGAATGGGACTGACACTGCAAGTGTGGTGGAAACGGTTCCCGTGGGAGAGTCAGCTCGCTGCAAATGGTGGATGACTAGTCAGAATGACACCAGGGTTTAGGGGGTCCATGATCAACAAACGGCGGGTTCACTAAAATGTGCTCTATTGCCCATCTCTTCATTCAAGAATGTATGGAGTAGAAGGAAGAAAAGAATTCTGATTCTGAATTGACCGGAGATCCGAAAAAAAGAACTGATATTCGTGTGTAACTACAGCAGCCTGGAGCCAGTGAGACTGGAAGACTGCATCTATCGATCACATGTCAATTATATCATTTTTACAAGTCATCATCTGCAAAAGAAAGTAAAAGCAAGCGGTCATCATTCGAGCCAAAGGCAATTAGATTCCCATGGGATGCCCAAGTCTGTACCCAAAAGTCGCGAGGAAGAATGAGCAGTGGATCTTCGTGTCGAATGGAGTATATCTCCGACATTCCATGTTTTCTTCGATAAACCAGTCGTGATGCAGGCTCGAGTGGCTCCATGACAAACTGGTCATCAAGCGGACGGAGATCCCATTTGTCACCATTATTGGATGGAATTTGGATATCGAATATCTCTGTTCCATAGAGAATATGCTTGCTGTCTGCAAAAAAGCTCGGTCGATTGCCAAAGAATGGAAACTGTTTGCTTATAATTCGTTCCAAACCGTTTGCCGGGTTGATAGTAAAAAATTCGAGACTCGATTCGATGCCTAAACTATTCGAAGTGCAGAGAAGCATCGATGAATCTGGTGAAAACTGTAGGAATGGTGCTCTGGCGGCTAATTGCACCTTAGTCTGAATTACCATATTGGTCGTGTCACCAATCACGGCCCGCGCGACATTGCTCCATAGTCGTATAGAGTGATCATTTGCCCACATGACTATATAGGACTCGTCATCTGAAAGAGCAACAGCTCCCACAGACTCTGTACAGGCAATCGTTGCCTCACATTTGCCAGTTGACGTATTCCAAACCTTGCATGAACGATCAACACTGCCGGTGACAAATAGGTGCCCACTTCGCGAAATTGACCCCGAGATAACACGATGTTTATGGCCCTTGAAGATAGTCTCGTGCTGTTGTGAGTGAGTATCGACCCCCCACAGGCCTACATTTCCCTGACTGCCACCCCACCCTACGACATGTTCTTCAATACTAAACGTGACGAATTCGGGCGCTTCAGGTATTTTATATGGATCACCTATTCCGCTACCCGTTCTTGTATCCCATAGCTGAAGAGTCGAGTTTGTGTTACCGCATACTATGTATTCGCCTCCTCCAGAGAAGGCCAAACAGGTAATGACAACGTCCCCGCTCTGTTCGCTGGTCTTCCATTTAATGGTTCTGGTTTGGTTCATGTCGTAATCAAGATCTGAGCCGAGTTCCCATAAACGCAAAGTGCGGTCCAAGCTGGAGGATATCAACCTCTCGCCATCTGGGAGAAAGCGCATGGCCAGTATATCCCATTCTGGACCTGTAAGGACAGCTATGCGACGAGCGAGACATTTTTTGCCAGTTCGCTGTATGTCCCAGATGTGAATCTCGTCTGTCGAGATAATTGCGAGTCGCCTACCGCGACGGTCCAAGTCGATTGCGCGGGTTCCGTGGATGTCTTGCTCTAATGGAGGACAGGCTTCTTGTCCATCAGCCAGACGCCAGATTCTGATCGAACTAGGATGCTCAGAATACTTCGGTCCGGAGACCAAGAATGAGTTGTCACTATTGATCGCTAAGTCTCGAATAGCGTCATCGTGAGCGTCGATTGTATGTTTTATCGCCGAGGTTCTCGTATCCCAGATGCACACTTGTCCGTTCTCGCAACCGGATATGAGTGTGCGACCATCTCTTGTGAACAAAATTTTGCAAATTTTACTGTTATGAGGTAGTTTATAGGGTTGTTCCAAGCTTTCTACCTCCCAAAGTAACACCTCTGGGGTCTGAGAACAAGCTGCCAAGAATCTTCCATTGAGTGACGCCACTAATCCAGTGATAGGTTCACTCTTGGGTTGAGTGTGTAGTATCTGAGCACGTCCATTTCTTTCGGAAGGATTTCTTGCCCAGCATCTAATAGTCCCATCTATGGATGTAGAGATGATCGTATTACCACCTTTACAAAAGGTGACATGAGTAACCGCTCCTTCATGTTCTATGGAGAGCATCTCAATAAGTCTACCTGAAGACCCATCCCAAATACATATAAAGGAATCGTCTCCTCCCGAAACAATGCAGGAGCTATCGGCAGAGAAGGCGGCACTCCTAACTCGACTATGATGCCCTTCCATTGTCGCCAACAACTGAACAGTATCTGCATTGAACAAGTGCAGGACTGAATTGTTGGGTATAGGGAGAAAACGCTTGCCGTTGGGAGAAACAAGTATATCTTGAAATGTTACTCCACGTAATACTTCTCTGTGGGGTGTAGTTCGATCGACATATTGAGTTTTGAACCATGGAAGTAACTTTGGGACTTTGTCGTGGTATGTTTGAAATAAAAGTGACTCGTGGGATGTAAAAGCGAGTGCCGACATGTAAGTGTGGAGAGGAGATGTGCTGATGAGATAGGAGAAGCGCTTAAGCAGATTTGAGGCGTCTTGACATAATGCAAGCGAATTCTTATTCTAAATGGGTTTGTTAGAGTCCTAAGGTACCCGTATGGTAGACACGTACCCATTCGGTTGGAATTTCTAGTTCTCCCAGCATGAGAAGAGAAGTGTGGAGAAGATCAAGGCCACGAAGACATTCGGATATTTCTTTGAGAACTCCTGACCATTCCATCCAGACCAAAAGCTTTTCCTGAAGGACTGTAAGCAACTCCTTGCGTAGATCTTCATCTTGAATTGCGAGGCTGGCATGTCTCGCCCAGAACGTGACGGCATAACGCACAGGAGCCATAGAGCCTCGCATAATAGAGTCCGGATTATTTTCCGGTCTACCCGTCTTATATGGTCTTCCGGGCTTCACTCCCTCTAGAGCTCCTGGAGTTAAAGACTTCAACAAACGGCAGCAGGCGATGGCAATTTGGGCATGTCCCATGGGAGGAGAGATATAAAATTTAGCCTGCTCAGTTTGTTCTTCCAGATATTGGCGGAAACTAGGGTGTAGGGTGTAGATCGGAAGGTGAAGTTTGCCATCTTTCATAATACTCCCCAGCTTCTTCACGAAATACTCCACATAGTCAAATTCCTCGGCGTCCTGGTCGACTTCGAAGAACTTTTTGATAGTAAAGATTGAAACAGGCTGATAAGTGAGAATAACACCCCACAAAACTATCCGTAGCCATTCAAGAGAATCCATATTGTCCATTGCCTCTTCTAGGACGGTCTCGTAGAGTTGCCTCATCCGCTTGTCAGGAATCATAGACCTGAGCCGCTCCAAAAGTTTGGAAGGAGCTGATGTGTTGTTCAATGCCGTACACGCCAGGTAGGCCCAAAGGAAAACGCCTTTCGCGCAGTCAATGACAACTTGTACTTGTTCCACATCGAACCCTTGGAGTTGATGTTGGATATATAATGTCACGTCGCTGCCTAGTGCTCCTCCTTTGACATCCAGTAACACAGCGTCCCGACCTCCAACATGGGCAGAGCCCTGTAGGAGCTCTTCTAGGGCTAGGAGATATCTACTGGTCATGAGGACTTTGAAAATGCCTGTAGATGGCATTGCATGGCGTAGCTCTTCGGCGAGAACCAAGATACCATCAGGGTGACACTCGTCTACTGCATCGACCACAAGAATAAGCGGTTTGTTGATCATTTGACTGGCTTTTTCTACTGATTTCACGATGAGAAGACGAAAAATTTCCGAGAAACTAGAGGAAGAAATGTCGGGGTGGTTCATCAACACCTGTCGTACATGCGTCTGGGTGCCTGGGTGGTATGAGACGATGTCACGGGCGATAGTGACACAGAACCGATCGATATTGTCCGTGTATCTATCATCCCTACTGAAGAAGAATCTCCCAGCGAGTATCCCTTGCGACTCCCATAGAGAAGCCATGTGCGCAGCGAGGGTGGACTTGCCTGTCCCAGCCTCGTCACAAAGCCAGAATATTTGTTCCGAGAGGGATGTATCTTTGGACCACTCACACAGTCGAGTGATGAGTGCTGTCCTTGTCCCCGGTAGGAGTGGAGGCACACGATCCCCTCTAGCCTCGACGCTATCGACCAGAAACGTATCGATATCTGCAACAAACTGTAAGTGGTTGCGATGAAATTTTTGCGAGCTAATTACATGTTTTCAATATATCATTCTGAATCGGTTTGAGCACCAATTCGATGCAAGTCTCTATTTGTGCCTGATCACATTCGATGAGATACTCTGTACTTATGTATATTAGACCCTTACGATAAAGAATATAAAATCTTCTTGTATCTTATTTTGCATTTCCTGTATTGCTTCTAGTTCCTTTCTGACCTGGGCACCCCGTTTAACACTGCTGAGAGCCGATTCCAGATACTGTTTTCCTTTTGCTTCGGCAGCCTTACGAATCGATTCGAGACCTCTACCATCAAATAAGATAAGCCTTTGAGTTTACCAAGAAGTAGAATGCACCATACCCTAGGTAATTTTCCAATGAGCTCCTAAAGCTATCGTTTGCTGCAACGGGGTAGCCAAATTTCTCCTGTTGTTCGTATCTCTCCCGCTCAAATTCTAAACCTTTTGATTGAGATCCCAGCGTTTCGGCAAGAGACTCCCATTCGGGACCAACAACTATCATCTCCTATTTCAAAAATGAGAAGTCGGTAGAAAACTTCCAAGCGAGACGTACCTGAACACTGAGCAACACCTGCGTCACAATACCGCAAGCAGCTTTCAACGGTCCTGAAGCTGAGGTCATATCTGCTGCAGCCTTGACTACAGAAAGTGCTTCTGTGGTCCCTCTGCTTAGTTCCACAATGCGGTCCTGGTTGATCCGACTCGGAGACTGATGCTGTTCGATAGGCTGCCCTGGATCTTGTTGAGAAGCGGATGGAGGGGTACTTGAAATGACCGTATTAGCATTTAAAGATGATGATAAAGCCGTATTTGTTTGGTTTTGAGATAGTGTTGACAATGCAACTCCATGATCGAAACCTGATACTGATATTGTAGGCTGGTTCTCCGAGTGATCATCACTTAGATCTGGTTGAGACCCCCGAGAACCCTGAGACGCTTTGCTAGATTGATGTTTCCTTTTTCTTTTGAATAATTTCTTGAGGGCGGACATCTGCGAAAGGTCAGAGGCAAGAGCTCGATATCTAGTTCCAATCGACCCGGTTGCATATACAACCTTCGACCATGTCTACTGGGTCGGAGAGTAAGACCTGTGCATATTTAGGGCAAATTCTCAAATGCATTGACAGGAAACATAGGAAGCCATATAGAGGAGCATGTCATGATTCCGGTGAAAGATATATGTTTTAATAGACCTCAGACAGAGCAGTTCCTCTATTTTGGAGTCATATTTCTCGTATTGGCGCTTTGCAACCTAAGGGATCTTAGTTCCAACAGCATGGGCTCAGGATATGGCCTATGAATGCCAGCGTAGTAATATGAATAGACAGATTTTCCGAGGCTTTGGGGATTATAAAGTTGAGTTTTGATTCTTTAGGTGAGAACAATCGCTGGTATGGTGGTCGCCGCCAAGGTGAACCGTTCTTTGTTTCTAAGGCGCGGTGCATTGTTGACTGTAAAGTAGCCGTAGCCGTCGATAGGAGACCCGAGAGCTTCCAGAACTTTATTCATACATTCAAGTCATCCTATTAACCCCATTTATCACTTAACACGCTCGTGCGGTAAATTTCACGCGATATATGTTCAGCAATGCTTCTGCCAATTGCTCCGCCTTCTTCGAGGATTCTAATTGCATTGTGGGAATAATTTGATTAGAGAGATGTATGTATAGAGATATATCATGATTCACTAGTATTCTGAGTAGCTAGTGGTGGATCATTCGCCTCTTCCCCAGTCGCACGTAAACGCTCTTCCCTCTGCCTTAGATACTCCATATTTC